CGTACGATGGTGGTTTTTTCGTTTTTGTCTTTCTTCGATATCACAATTTTACCGTCACGCAACTCGCATAGAAATGATTTGAAGGATTTTGTGCGATAATCAGCAAATTTCAACTCCTTTCCCGGGGTCACCGTTGCCAAATTCTTAACGGCACGTTGAACTTCACGCAAAGTATCAATAGGTTTCACAACTAGGTAATTATTTTTACGATCATCTTCGGGCCAATACGACCAGTTGAGGACAACGTCGAATACTTTTGTGTCATGGTGTAGTGGACGCTCCAGACTGTCGTTCAGTATGACTTCGTGCAGGGATACTTGATGGGTTGAAAATTGCATTTTAGGCGCCAGCTCGCGACAGATATCGTAGGCGGTGCGGGTGGGTGTGATTGTAACGTTCACCTGAACTTTTTCCTTTCGGGAGAAAATAAAAGAGTTTGTTCATTTTATTCGCTTTCAAATTTTTAAATACTTACTTCCTTGGTGTTCTCTGGTCTGGGGTTAAGTACTACCCACATCTTTAGGTCCCCAGACTTTTTCACTGAATCTGTCAGCGTTTCAGCCGCCGCGTAATACTTTTGTAAGCACATCAACATCTCTTGTTCCTTTGTCTAAAATTTTATGTTTTTAAATCGGTTTTTCTTGTAGAGATAAAGATAAGATAAGATAAGAGTGCTTACTACTTCCTCTGGCGATAGTGGGAATAAATGTTTGTAAAGCGTTATCAAATCGGCTAGAACATCAGCTTCCTTCTGCGAATAAACCATTTCTTCCTGCTGCTGTTAAAGGTTGGCAGCGAAAAAGTAAAATTTATTAGATACATATGTATGTATTGTATGTATGGGTGCTAGATTAACAGATCCCTTCAAGTACTCACGTGATTCTGCAGTAGCGTTGGACCCCAGATCATTGTCAAATTTTTCGTACTCATCTTATTCTTCGCCTTCTGCGAGCTAATAAACGCCAAATGTCCTACAATTTTCTTGAGAGTCTCCCGTTCTATCACGCTCAAACGTGCAAGTAATTCTTTATATACTTCTATCTTCTCCGCAGGTTTAGTAAGCTCAGTCACACACATGAAACTCTCGGAAAGTTTGCCCATTAGGCGCTCGGGAAGATCGCGCATGAAACGCTTCAAAACGTTAGCCACATCGTGCTCATTATATTCGTTACGTGTAATCTCCACATTGAAGGCATCCGCTCGGAAGGCTGACAGAAGTTTAAGAATAGAATTTTCAGAGCCTGATTTGCGATAGATGCCTTCCGACATGGAGCCGTGTATGTACACAAAATTGATGCACTTATCCACAATGACGGGCACATTGAACTTGGTCAACTGCTGATCGATCAGAGAGAAGCCATTGTTGTGTGCCACTTCACGTATAATATGCCGCCAAATTTTAGTTTCGCGTGGTGAGGACATAATCATGTACACCGTAAAGGGCGGACAATCGATCATGAGTGTGGGACCAGACTCTACATGCAGATTACGAATTGTTTCGTCGCTGTCTTTGAGCACTGTAAGAGAGAGAGATCCATTAAACATACGCGAACGCTTCAATTGCGGCCAACTTACCTATGCAACGAGCTTTGCGCAGATCCATCTTCTCGACATTTCCAGCAGCTTCACTCACAAATATTAAACGTCTTTGATTCTTCTTCAACACCAGCCAGGTGCCGCTCCATTCGGAAGTGATTGAGTTTTTCAAATAACACCAGCCTGCGCGATAGTAATGGCAGGCATATTTCGGTGGTATAGTATTGGTCAGACTCTCTAAAAGCTTTTGCATCCAAACACCTCTGAGGAATGGTAAACGTTTTTTAACCGAAAAATAAAGAAAACTCTTACAACACTCACCTTTCCGATTCCTTGCTCACACCGTATAGGTGTGCTACGCGCTGATGTTTACAATTGCCCGATGACGTACTCGTCATAACGAGGTTCGGATTCGACATTGCCTGCACGTTGCTCGAGTTCGGTTGGTTTTTCGGCACTGACATAGTTATTTCAAAGCAATAAAAATGTGTTGAATTATCTGTTACGCGACTATTGCTCACACATTGCAGCGTTGTAATGTACTCCAGTGGAATGCTCTCTTTGGGCGTCTTCATCTCCTGGTCGAGGAATGTCTGAAATTGGCGATCGCGTAAAATAGCTTTACGATTTTGCATCTCCTTGAGTATANACACATTGCAGCGTTGTAATGTACTCCAGTGGAATGCTCTCTTTGGGCGTTTTCATCTCCTGGTCGAGGAATGTCTGAAATTGGCGATCGCGTAAAATAGCTTTACGATTTTGCATCTCCTTGAGTATGTCTTCCACAACACCTGAGGGAAAGCGTATCAGCGGTCCTTCGTAGCGTACGAGCAATGGTGAAAGCGTAGGGCGTGGCACCATTTGTAACGTTACCTTCAAATCGGATTTTGCGGCTACCTTGAAGCTACCCTTACGCGTGATTGCACCCACACGCTGTTTTACGTTCGTCGAAAATACGTTCATAGTATTCATAAAACGCGATGCACGCGATTTTTGTTCATTCGCCGCGAGCGAAGGCCGATCCTCGGCTCCAATGGCTTCCAAGTAGGATGGTGGTCCATCACCTTCGATGTTCAGCTTGTTAAAGGGATTTCGTCGTTGCTGCTCTTTGTTTTCTTTATTGTCCTGCACAAACCATTGAGTGCGATTTTCAGAAGCGCGTGCCAAGTCAATATTTCTGCCACTGGCTGGCTGCTCTTCGAGTCGACTCAAGTAGGGCCGAACGCGCGCCTCATTATCATCCAGCATATTCTCTGTGCTGTCTGAAAGTAAGTGGGCATTTTGATGCACTATTCGTAGTTGAGTACCCGCTTCGTTAGTACTATTCGTGGGCTTAGCATTCGTTGGCAAAACCACAGTTGCTGGCGTGGGATCTTGGGAGACTACAGCCGTGGTGATGACCGCAGTAGCTGTTTGATTGTCTTCTTCCGAGGTGCACATGCTGATATCGTCATCAGATTTCACTTGGTCTCCCGAAACAGTGCCGTAGATGTCCTCTTCCAGCAGATGTTCCAGTAACAATAGCTGATTACTCTTATCCGAATTGCATATCGTTGCGGCTTTGCGACTCAAAAGCGGATCAAATTCTTTAATAACTTCCACTGGCGGCTTTAGGCAGCCACCTACAGCGCCTTCCACTAACTCAACCGGTCTTGGCGGAACTTGGAAGGAATTAGATTTGCTGCTCGAGGCCATTTCGAAAACTCGACCATATGTGGCCTCATCATTAGCATACACAGGCTCAGGCGTTGAACATACGCTCTCTTCTACGCTATCCGCAAAATACTCCCACGACTCACTGCGATCCGGCTTAGGCATTTGGTTTTCCGCTGCCAGTATCTGCTTACGCAACAGCATAGATTCTTCGCGTTCAGATGCCGCAACTTCCATATTTAGTTGATGTAGCTCAGCAGAGTCGACATTTGGCCGCAGTGAAGCTCCGCCCACGGGCGATGGATTCTCCACTACGCGCCGCAATTGAATCTCCTCATAATTCTTGCGTCTCTTCAACCGCTGTGGTGGCTGTATGGGCTTGAGTCTGCCGTAAAGCCCATCCGTAATGTCGGTTACAACTTCCATGGGTAGTGCGGGTGGTGGAAAAGTTGGCATTGGTGGCGAGGGAAAATCTAATGAATCACGCGAATTCGCAACTGAACTACTGCCCGTGGCGCTCTCTTCTTCTGCAACATTTTGCAGACTGGCATTGCTACGTTGCTTCTTCAGCGCTACATTAGCTGCCTCGGCGGCAATATGTTTAGGCACCATGAGCGACTTACTTACAGGCGCGTTACGCTC